TCATTTGGAGGCAGTTCAGAACACTAAACTCCATAGTGAAATGGCCTAAAATCACATGAGTAGCCATGAGGGTCAGGCCAAGGGCTCCTCACCCAGCGGGGTGTCTCTGACAGTTGCAGGTGCTTTGAGGAAGAGGAGAAAGAATAAAAGAGGCACACAGCAATCCAGCTCCTGGTCATACCCTCCTCACTTTTCTAACAAAAGCAGGTTGGGGATACCCACTGCCAGGGGTTGTATCTGCATCTTAGCACTCAATAGCACTTGAAAGATTTGCCTTATGTGAACTTGTCTAAATATTCTGGGGCTAATCAAATTTTGGACCCATGCAGCACCCTGTTGCTGTGAGTTCCACTGTTTAATACATAGCATAAAAACCCCCAAATTCCTCCTTAAACCTGTTGCCTAATAAGACTCTATGCTACTGGAATCCAAGAAAGGGCAAGGGCTGACTAAGCCCAGAAAATACTCTCAGCTCTTGTTGTAGTCGGCAGGCACAATGGCAGTGTCTCATTTCCCCTCTAATGAATATTGGTCTAACATCTGCTTTGTCCTCCAACAGAGATGGCACATTCCAGCTGTTAGGCTTCAGCCTTTACAATTACTAAATTTTCCCCAGTTGCTCTGTTGAATTCAGGCTGATGACAGAAGGGCTGAAATTATGATAGTTGGACAGTAAAGTGCTTTTTTGCTTGTATAGCCAGACCATGGGATAAAATTGTGGCACGAAGGACTGTGCTGCTCTTTAAGCAGGGCTGTTTCAGGAACTGAGAGGTGAAGTCATTTGTGCTTCTGTAGGATTTATAAAGTGTTTGTTTAGTGTTACCTGCTTGCCCCCTTGCATCTGTGCTGCAGAAGATGCTTCTTCAGAATAATGACAAGTGAACATGCAAGTGTCTACCTAGTTTCAATATATATTTTAAGAACAAGAGGCATTGGATAGACTGTTCAGGGAGGAGGAGAAGCAGGGGAATGAATGTGGAAAGCAAAGAGTTTGAGAGAATGTCAGTGTGACAGACAGATCTTGAGGAGAGATGAGGCTCTGGAAGGAGAGATTACAGCTTTGCTGCACTCTGCAATGCTGACAGCAGCAATTCCTACCTCTCATCTGTCATTCTTCCATATGTACCTGAGAAGATAACACAGGAGAGTTGAGCCTCTCTGCAGGACACCCACCACTGCTTGCATCCTGCTGGGATGGGAGGGTGAAGCCCAGAGTCTCTCTCTGCTTTGTTCCAAGGAGCACGGCTGCAGTAAGCAGCATAATCATCGCTCCCACGAGCTTCAAGGTTACAAGGCTGCTGGGGAGGATGGCTGTCTGTGTGTGGTGACTTGACATAAATATTAATCTAGCTGAGCTTTAGGATTAGAGAAATAAATTAATAGGGGAACCTGCAAAAAGCATGAAAATAACTTGTATATTGGTCTAGTTTATTCATTTCCTGGGCAGGAATCTTCCTCTCGTGAGCCACAGTTACTGCAGGTTGTGGGGTAATTTCGCAATTGATGAACATACATGTTAAGGCTTGAGCTGATCCACAAATAGCTGAAAAGGGCCTTCCGCCTCTGTTCTTGCTTATGGGCCTCCTGCACCAGCTCTGGCACTCACTGGCTCTACAGCAAGCTAATTCAACCCACTAATCTGGCAGAAAACTAACCCAGAAGAAAGAAATCAGCTCAGTAAAGGTCTGAGAAGTATTAAAGGTGGTGCACAAGAGAGAAAAGGTGCAGTTGAGAATAGTGGCAGGGAGCACTGGGTGAGAATGGGTACATGAGACTTCCCTTCTTTGGTCAAAGCCGTTGGATCGAGTCAGTTATGGTATGTAACTGCACAACATGACTTTGGGAAATTTTTCCATCAGGATGGACTTGTAGCAATATTCTCTTGCACACAGGAAATAGACATGAGTCTTGGGTGCACAGATATTTCGGAGTTAGACACCAGACTGACGTGAAGAGCTCCTGATCCTGCCACTGACTCCGTGACCATGGGTGAGTAATTTAGGGCATAACACACTCCACAATGCAAGGAGGGACAGACAGGTCCCTTCTAATTTTGCCTCTGGGACTGAAAAGAAACCAGTCACTTCAGAGTGACAGATCTAAAGAGCTATGCTGATGCAGAGCTTTTTGAGGGAGGTGCAGAGCCAGGCTTACATGATGGCTGTGCCACCTCCAGTGCCTGAGCTAGTGTGAGTGCTCTGTGCCACGTGGGACTCTCCACTTGTACTCAGAAACCTCATCACTGCACCGTCTTGGAGGGTGCAACCCCCCTCTCCAAATTCTCCATGCTTCCTTCCACCCCATCAATCCTATACAGCTTCCCTGCCTTGCAGAAACCAGCATAGCATGAAGTCAGATGCTACAGGAAGAGATTTAGGCAGGACAGGGAGTGAATGTCCAAATGTTCAATGAATCCAACCCGGAGTGAGATGAGCCTGCTACTGAAGCCAACAGACAGCACATCTTGGCTTTCATTCCTCTTCTCAAAAGGCCTGTTTGTACAAGGGAGGAACAAGCTGGTTTGGCAGAGATCTAGACAATCTGAAACTTCACCACAAACTCACTCCTGAACCTTGTCCGGAAGGTTACACAAAGCAAAGCCTGTCAGTACAGTTACCAGCTATAACCCTTTGTCCTGTTACCATGTTATTTCTGCTATTTCTCTCTCTCCCCGCCGTTGCCCCTTCTTTGGCCACTCCCAGGAGAGCCACTAAAGCCCCTGTAGCCTGAGCCTCCGCCGAGGTGAGAGGCAGAGCCCTGTTTGCAGCCCAAAGGTGTACACAGCAGAGGTCTCTAAACTGCCGTCTGCTTCTATCAATCGACCTCCAAACTTGTTGGAATTCTTTGCTTATAATATGCTTCAACAGGCACATTGTCCCATGAGGACTGAACTAAATTGAGTTGCAGGGCTGCAAATCATGAAGCTGCCTTATATTAATCATGGCTATTCAAGTGCTAAGGAATGTAGAAAGTAAATACATATTTGTTTTTAGGCCATAATTTGTCCCGTTTGCAAGAGGAAAATTAACATACTCAATCCCTGAGGCTTTAATCCTAGGAGAATACCTTGGGAAATGAACGTGCTGTAGACACTACACGTGAAATACACCCTTTGTTAAGTCCTCTACCCGCAGCTTTTGTCACAAAGCTTTTCTCCTGGATCTATTAGCCCTCTCATTCACATCTCCACAATCTAATAAGGCTTTAATGTTTCACATTTCTTCTGCCACCCCTGCCACAGTCCCTGCTGACTTACTGGAGACTGATTTCCCCGAGAAGTGACTAGAATCCAACTTCCAGGGTCAAGTTCTGCCCTTGTTTTCAGACCTGGCTTGAGAAAAAAATCATAGTGTCCAGTCCTGCAGGTGTAAACTTGGCTGCAGCTACACTCACCAGGTGGTTGGATTTGCAGATCAGTCCTTGACTTTTATGATACTTCAAACACATTTGAATAAATACTCTGCATACACAGATTTGATCAGCTTGCATTCCTAGTGCTGCAGTGTCCTTCTCTTTGGCATGCTTTACTCTCAGTTAGAATTAGTCCAGCCAATCCGTAACCTACTGGTAAAACTCTATACAAAGCCCAGTGCTCTAGTTGCTTCCCAGTCCTCCACACTTCTTCTCTTGGGCTTTTTCCCTCTTTTAGCTCCAGCTGTGGTTTAAGATCTTCCCCATCTTCAAAGCATGATTCAGCCTCTGCTTTTATTTGCTTTCACTCTCTGCCCTACTCTCTTTCTACGGCCCAGAGTTGTAATCCCCATGTCTCAAACCTGGTCCTGGGCCATCCAGCAAATCCTTTCTCCCATCTCTGCCCTGAACTTAAAATTCACCGAGCCCGTGCATGCTAGCCATAGTTTACCCACTTGAATAATAGCTACCCTTTCACCTAGCCTAACTGCACCTGGCAGGATCAGAATAGCAACTAATTCTTCCTCTTCTTAATCTTCAGATCAAATGTATCCATTAGACCCTGACCGGACGACCTCCTTGCCTCTGGCATCCTCAGCCCTACTAATTGAGGGCAGTTGCTTTTGTTGATGCCTGAAAGTCGCCTACCGTGTTTGTGGTGAAGTCCCTTCCTCACCTCCAAGCCACCCAGGCCCTTGCTCTTAGCTGTACACAGTCACTCCTCAGTTAGCTCTCCTGTTTTGTGGAGGTGCGGGCCTACCAGCTCAACCAGAAGATGAAAGCAGAAGTTTTGCCTGTCTATGTCCTAGGGGGAGAAGTGTCATTGCACCAGCAGGCCCTCTGCTTTAGATAATAAAAAGTTATTGTACAGATAGCAATGTACTGAAGGCGTGGAAAGTGGCAAGGAACTGATGCAGGTCCATGAGTTACCCCTCATCAGCTGAATCACGGTGACTGTCCCTGTTTGCTCCTTTCCCACCTTACAAAATCACAGCATCACCTTAAACCCACCACCACCAGTTTCTGCCACTGGAGTGGTAACCTGATCGGTTGTGACATTTCTGTCTGTGCCCTACATTATGCAATTCGACAACTGTACAATTAACTCAATAGCTACCTGGGGAACCTGTTTGGAGCTCCTGAGCTTTGATCAGTGCTTTGGGGTTTGTTACATAGTTTCACTCATGAGCACTGAGGTGAATAATCTGGATACTTTTAAAGAAAGTACTTGGAAAGCAAAAGCTTCACATTCTGGAACATTCAGGTGGGACTTGAAACAAGACCTTGGAAAGGAAAACGTGACTGACAATTTTAGATACCAGTGACATTGATAATGTTGATCTAAAAAGACAGTCAGAGACAACAAAAATCACCCACTTACCCTACTATTATTCATCTGATCTTGCATCTATTTCCTGCTGAGGGTCTGTTTGAGTGAACGGATGGGTACGAATTACTGATAAACTGCCATGGTAATGAAGACACCGCACCTTTGGCCTCTCACATGGGTCACTGACAGCCCTGGCTTCCCCCAGCCAGTGCGTAAACCACCCCTGGGTCACATAAGGGTTGCAAAGCCCAGTCCTTACCTTCTCCTGGTACTGACGCCGCGAGGAGTCCAGAGACTGGATTAGGGCTGTGGCATGGCCGATGAACATGGCATAGCAGGTGGCACCAACAATCATGCTCAGCATGGTGAGCCACACATCTGACATGCCAACGGGCGCCTGCTGCCCGTACCCAATGCAGAGCATGTGACTCATGGCCTTGAACAGCGCATAGGAATACTGCTTCCCCCAGGAGTCATTCTAAAGAGACAGACAGACAGACAAAGCTTTAGCAGTGGGACAAGACATTCTCTGAGATGAACACATTTCCAAAAAGGATACCTAACATTAGATCCAAAAGTCCAACCTTTGTATGTTAAGAAAAGCAATTCTTTGATGGCTTGGCAGTGCTGGGCACACTCAATTTGAAAAAAAAAAAAAAAAAAAAAAAAAAGCCCAAATTTAGTCATCTGACATTAACTGACTTTGGTGGCCAGGGTTTTCACAGATTCCACGTACTCTTTCCAGCAAAACTTTCTGGAAAGGAAGCCAGACAGTCTGACACACTGGTAGCCTGGGATAAACTGCAATGATGCATTGGGATATTTTCAAAATGACCCACATGTGGGAGGAGGAACTGAAGCAAATAATTAATCCACTGGGAAAAGGACTTTAACAGAGAACTGGTAAAAGAGAGCCTGAGCAAGGTTGCCAGCAGCAAGAACTTAAGAGGGGGGAAAATCACTCCCCAGCAATTTAGGAAATGGTCAGGATCTCTGGTCATTACCTGAAGAGATGGGAAGGACAGAAAATTAAGATGATAATGTCCAGACAAAAAGCTCTTCTCAGTGTAAAAGAGGGCTTTTTTTAAGGGAGCTGAGAATCTACAGATGGTCTCATCCGAGAGACTCAATAAACCAATGTGAGAAGCCAGCTGAAGTCAACGGCTTCTTTTGGACACACTGTGCTCTCCCACTGCAACTAACACAAGAAGCACCTCAGCAATTACATCATGGGTTAGGGAGAAAAAACAGCGTAAGTTTCATGATGATTCTGATTAGCTTAAGTTTGTGGAAAAGCTCAAGGTACATTTACTGTCCTGTGGGTATTATGTGCTAGCAAGTCCTTGACACAAAACCCTGTAAAGTAAATGCACTGTCATCACACATTGCTATTACAAGGTATGTGAAAAAATACCTCTTCTACAGTGACATTCGTCGCAGCACATAATCTGTACATTCATCAGTCTTCTTGCTGTTCCTAGGAAGGCGTTAACATGGATATAGCTGTGCTGATGCATATAACATGGCAACTTAGAAGGTCGTTGTACGGAAGGCCTGGTTTGTGGCTTGTCAATAGACGAGCAATACTTTTGTGAACTCCTTTCAGAGAGATGCAGAAGCCTCAGCACCAGTGACCAGTAATGCTGGGAGCCCTGGAGTTTACTGGACACCTCCTTGGAGGTATCTAATCACAATCAGGTGGATGGCTGATGACATCTCTGCAAACAGCTCTCTTGAGTGTCACTAGTGTTGATGGAAATTTTTCAGTAAGCTTACAAGTAGTAAACAGAAGCAAAGCGTAGTGTTGCTGTTTGTGAGCTGTGGCAAAGAGCTGGAACCTCTGGAGAGTGTTAATGCTTGGTTAGGAGATAAGCACATGGACAAAGACAGGCGATAGCGTTACCCTGGCCATATTCAGTTACATTATGCAAGACAGGCCTGATTCACACTGCAACAAGAAGGGCAAAGCAACAGAAGTGACAGCAAAGCGGACACAGAAGAAGCAGCACATTCACAGCCCCAGAAGTGACTGCTCCCTGCTGGCGCCAGCCTGTCTGGGCTCACCCCCCTAACAAAGCGGGAACCTCTTCACCTCCTGCACTGGAAAAAACTACCCTGGAGTCAACAGAGAGAGACAAGAGACAATGTGGCCATTGGTGCCTCTATTCCTGGCTGTGCCGTTGGCCTGCCAGCATGTGAGGAGCCACAGCCCAAAGGGGAGCCAGCTACAGATGAAGGCAAAGAGCATTTGCGCTCTGCAGCCTGTACAGGGCAGCAGGAAGGATCTGACCACGGGGGCTGCCTGAGCTGTAAGCACCAAGGGAGTGAATCCGCTTGCTCCTTCGCCTCACCCATGTCTATGCTCTGGCTCCTGGAGTCCTGGCCAAAGAAGTGTGAGGGTCCATTTTTCCACCACCCAGGTTTTGTGACATTTTGCAGACCCACTTCTGATCTGTGAAGGAATCAAGCATCTCACACATCTTACACAGGCATGCCTGCATCTTCACTGTTAACATTTCCAGGAGCCACCATCCCTTTCCCTCAGCCCTGTAGTATTCGCAGTCATAAAGCCATGGTCCCTGCACTTACAGAATGACAAATGCTGTAAACTCTACGGCTCTAGCCCATCTATTGTCCATGCTTCAGCAGGGAAGTCATCATCCTGAGACAAAAGGCAGGAGCAGTCACACTTGACCAACTTTTGCTTAAAATGGTGCATCACCTGTAAAGGCGGGCAGCACGTTCACGGCTTTACTGGGCAGTTGAGCAGGTGTCCTGTCCCATCCCTTCCTTGCTAAATGAATTCCTTTCCCATGTAGACATTTCTTACCGGACATTGCAGAAATGCTGCTGTCTTCTGAGTTCAGTGTGGCAGTAGTTTAACAGGGCAGCACATCTCCACAATAAAATTGAGAGCAGGGAGAAAAGAAATGCCGAGCTGAACGTCCAAAGGGAATTTGGGGGGAAAGAATAAAAGTAGCTGAGCTGGAATTTGATATATCAGGAAACTGGCTGCCAGGGTCTTTAATGGCCAAGAATGATCAGAGCCTAAGAAGAACATCTGGGTATCTGTTCAAGTTTTAAAAGCCATTCTTCCAGCAACTTGCTGCTCAGGAGTGCTGTTTATGAGGAAGCTTGCCAGTGTTTTGTAGGAATTAGTCATCCAAAACTACAACATCCAACATCACTGAGCCCCTGTATCCTGCAGAAACACTTCTGGGTCCCTGGGAAGTCTACACTTACAAGTCACAACCCCAATTCCCATCAGCAGCATGGCTCCCTGTGAGGACAGCCTGCTTCTTGCCAGACTGAGAAGATTGCTGAGTAATGACAGACTGAGGGACTAGAGGAAAACACAGAGCATTTAAAAAAAAATCCTGAGCAATGTGGAGAAGAGATCAAGGACTGCTGGAAGAGAGGCACTTCCATGAAGGGGAAATCTTTCAGAGCAATTACCTTTAGGACACAACCTCTGAGCTCTTTGAGCATCCACAGCTCTGGATTCTCATGGCACAGCCTATGTGATGACTCTTTGCTTATAGATCTCAGTATATCTTTAGTTTTTAGGTCTGTTGTACAGCCTTTTTGTATTCCACAGAATAAGTGGGCAGGTCAAGAATGCTGTACTTTCAGACAGACTAGTAGTAGTGGTTCCAAATGCCCTGTGGGCACAAGTTTACTAGCATCACGGTGCCTTATACTGATACAGCTTGTTTCCGTAAGAGCCATACTCCTATACTCAATATACCACTGTGCCAGTCCCCACGGTAGGAGGGTTATACTAGTAGTATAACTTCAAATATACTGGAGTGGGTGAAATGGCCCATTAGGGTAGGTAAATGAGGCCTTAAACTGCAGAAAGAAAATGACTCCTCGTTAACCAAATCTCAAAGCAAGATAAAATAGAGCTACAGATCTGTGCTTGAACATAGTCGAGAGGGACGTTATCTCAGACACATGCCAGGCACTAAAAGCATTTGCAAAAAGGAGTTAAAATTCCTTTGAAGCGATTTATCAGACTAGCTTGTTTTTAACATCCACACTGGCAGTACTTTAGGGGTTTCTCTGGGATTAATGTCTGGACTGCAATGCTCCTGTTCAGATCCACCCTTGGATATTGGGAGACATGTTCCTGAGACTCTTCAAAGGCAGTGCTGGGTTCTGCAGTACCTTACAAAAGCACCTAAAGAAACAGTATGGTGTCTTATAGGATGTTCTGGGTCTGATGTACATGTGAGGGTACCTGGTTGAACCCTCATGGGAGAAAACTAGAGAGAGAGAAGTAAAGACACAGAGAAGTCCTGGCAAATTCTTGGGGTAGAAGCATACTTCACAGGCACAATGTTATGCTTGACTTACATCAGTAACATTTCACAGTATTAAGGAGCTGTTTGTAGTGAAAGGGCACATTTCAGTCTTGTGAACTCCTGCATTTGTCTCAGCAGTGATCTTATCTGGCCACAGAGTTGCTACTCCGGGTTCGTTATTGCACACCACTTCGGAAAAGCTGCAAAATAAGGGCTCTGAACACCACTGCCCTCCCCTGGACAACACTGTAACTGCTGAGCCAGGAAAACGAACCTTCAGATTTAAAGGACGCGAATAGTGGGATGAGAAATGGAGTTGATAGGTCAAACTTCGCATCGGACAGAACCTTCCTGTTCTGGGCTTATTTCCAAGGAGAGCTTTGCATGGCCTTCACCTAACAGAAGAGATTTTCTCAGGACTCTGAGTGCACCAGTCTTAATTGCCCCGGTCAGCTCTGCCCGGGCCCCCCACCCACGCACCCATTGTTCCTGGAGCTCCACTTCAGCGCAGGCCTGGGCACCCAGCTTTAGCCTTGTTTCCAGCCTTGCTTCCGACCCCATCTCCTGCTGCTCCTAGCTGGCCTCCTTGGGCAGACCCTGGATGTGACTGTCACCCTGCCTTCACCAGAATGGTCAGTGCACCCTGTTATCACCACTTCTGCTCTGCTCACCCTGTTTCAGACTGCTAGGAACCGCCTGTGCAGGGGTCACCCTTGGCTCCTGGCTCATACCCCATCGTGGAGCAGACCTACTCTTGCTGCTCCCTGATGGATTTTATAAAACATGACAATCTACTACACAGTATCACAGGCCTGCTGAGTGAGGGTAGAAGGGATCTGCTGGACCAGAGGGTTGGGGGGGTTATAAATCACACAGGAGACCTATGCAGGATTTCTCTGTCTTCCACAATGCATGCTGCATCCGTTTCTCTTCCTCCTTTCTATCAGCAACACTATGAGAACATGTTGGTGGGTGGGGAAGGGGGGATTTAAGCTCAAAAGGAAAGCTACTCTCCTTCTTTCGGTAGAAGGGAAGGCGATTACTATTTCCTATGCAAGGTTGCTGCATTTGACACGGGGATATTTGCCTTCCCTGCAGGGTTTATCAGTTCAACACAATACCCAAAGGAGTGAGCCACGTGTTTCCAGCAGCCTTCTGTCCTCAGCAGAGCTCAGATTTCTCTGATGAGGAGCTGCCAGGCAAGGGTCTTGGGGAGATGCTGCTGCCCGCACACATGCTGCTCCACAGCTGACTCACTGGCATTTCTCTTTTTAATAAAATGCCCTGTAGGGAAGCTAATGCTGAAGCCCCTGAGATTGCGGCTGAGCAATTAATACTGAAAACATCCTTCCCTGCCATTTCAGAGCCAGTTCAGAAAGAAGTCAGAGAGACTCACTCCTTCTACAATTGCTAAAGATGAAATATGGTGTATGTAGAAAACACCAAGATGAGCTGGACCCAGGGATTTATCGAGCCCCTGATAGAATTTTGGCAACACCAGACCCTTCACAGATCCCCTGGAAGAAGATCAAACCTTTAGGAAGCAGATGGGAGGTGATGAATCTTCTTTCCCTGCTGCGTTGGAATCAGAGCTGGTTTTATGGACTGCCAAGTGGCTAGGTGGGAAACTCCGGAACGGTGGAAGAGCAGCACCAGTGTACTCAAGGAGAAAGCCTCCAAAGCATTTGGCACCTCACTTTCAGCTCCACTTGGCTATAGCAACTTCAGAAGATTCCTTTTTTTCCTACAGTGGGTCCATCCCAGCCTTTTGGCTCCTGTGTTCAATCAGGGCAGTCATGCACCACATATATTTATCTCCTGAAAGCTGTGACCAGGTCAGTACAGAATGTCCCCATATCCAACCTAGCAACTCTCTGTCACAGAGAGATGCCATCCTGGCCATCCCCCTCCCAGTCCTGTCCATCACACCTCTCAGACAGAGCCATTCTGGAAAATATCATCAAGATCTTGGCACCAAAGTCTGACAACAGCCCAGACCACTGGTTTCTTGTTTCCTGACTCAGCGGCTTCTCCTATTCTTTTACTATAGACTACACACAAATTGTTGCACTAATCATGCCATCCACATCCATCACTGGTCCCAGTGACACATCTGGAAATCTTCTCAAGAGATTAGAGGAAAGAGCCTTATTGTGAGAAGAAACTGTCTGATTCCAGAAGAACTAGTTATTATCTTTGTTAAACATTCTAAAATCAAGCTATTTTGGGGCTGGCATATTCCTGTACAGCTTCTGGAGTGGGAACCACCTGAACTATAGGTGAGGCAAATAACCATCTCTCCAGTTCTTCATCCCAGTTCCCTGAGGCTCCATTTCTGAGGCAGTCACTGAGATAATAATTTTTTTTTTTCATTTTTATTAAGTGGGAAATGTGAAGGTGATTTAGCTGCAAGGGAGAAGCAGAAAAAAATCACACAAGGCAATTTTAATTCCCAGCTTCACAGGCTCTCAAGGCTGGGAAGACAAGTACTGCAGCATGAGTCCTTGCCTGTAAAGCTCTGCTCTAGATAGAAACTTTCTACCCTTCCCCTCCTGGACACTGCTTGTGGCATGTACCCTTACCTCCTCACCTCAGTCTTGTGGCTAAGAAAGGTGCCTAGGCTAAATCTTTTTTTCTGTCCTGTCTCCTGCCACCTTTCAAGACACTATCTCTTCACTACACAGTTACCTTGATGGTCATTTACAGGCTCTGATCATAGTCTGGCCCAGGTAACTCTTTTTTCTAGATTATATACATTTAGCTTTGCTTCCCTCCTCATCAGGCTCTGACGCCCGTATGTTTGCAGCTCTTCATACCACTGGGTTACACAAGTGGTTTTCTGAATGAAAAGTGTCCAAGAGCCGATTTGCATTTGCTTGTGCCATGCATTTGTGCAATCTACTCAGTACAACCCCAGGTCTCTCAGATACCCACCATTACAGTATTTACTTCTCGTCAGAAGCATCTGGGCAGGGAGAACTCTCTGAGCCTCCCATCTGACTTGCTTGGGATCAGACAGAACAGAGCTGGGAACTGAATCCAGGTATTCCACTTCCAGTCAGTGCTCCAGCCACTGGATTATTCCTCCTCTCACCATGTGTGTCTGCCATTGCCAGTTACTGCCTTGTGTGAAGGTTTTCCATGCACCAGTTACCAGTAGACCTGGTTGTTTTAACCCTTCAGGTCACTTTGCAGCTTGTGTTGCAGCTGTCATCACACTTGTAACTCTGCAACCCTAGCTTTTACCTCTTCCTCCAGGGTTGGATGGGAAAAGCAAATAAAACTTGTTGCCATCAGACAGCAGCCTCCATCCCAGTGTCAGGATAAAGGAAACATGGTTCAAATCTGCTGCTCTGAAGCTATCCTGCAAAGGCACCATGGCCAAGTCACTTCATTGGATGGGGATGATTTCTCTCTGCACCTCTGAACTCTCCAGGATGAGGAGCTGTATATCCTTTTGAACCTGAATAGCACAAGCACAATGGGGCTCTGATCTTTTATTGCTCCTGCCATATAAATAATAAAAAGGCAGCACAGGGGAAGATAAGGCAGCTGCTGCATGGGTTGTTTTTCTGCTGTAGATAAATATAGGGTTCTAGTCTCCAGAACTGTCAGTCTGGCACCTTTCAGCAGCAGGAAGTGAATGATTATTGCAGAGGGAAGAAGTGGATAAATAAACACCAAACAGACGACTTTTTCATGGATGCTCACTCTTCTCAGGCATGGGCAGCATGTGCCCACAGCTCCGCATGTGGGAGGCATGAGACGCTGGCAGTTCTTTTATACATTTTACATTTGTTCTGTTCTGCCCGAGTGCCTGATTATTATTTTTTTTTTTTTTTAAGAAGAAATTGGCTGGGGGAATCTAGAGGTTAAGAGCTGCAATAAGAGGCAATTTTTTAAGCTTTGTCAGTTTTTGCTGCTTAATCAACTGGACATTGTCCCTTTGAATAAAAGATCCTGAATTCTCCGCAAAATGGTTGCAAGGTACCACGAACTCCCTGTGCATTTACCATATGGTATAAATCTCTGTCACAGCAAACAGCAGAGTAAGCAGCACAGTTTGGGACGTTACTGGGAAGTCTGGTTACTGATCCCACGACCGGAGGTTGAACCATGCCTCGGCAGAGCCTGTTTCAAACAACTCTAATGGGATATTGTGCAGCTCCCCAGGGAGAAGGGTGGGTGATCATGCCGACACTTCAAGTGGATATGGAGCTGAAGGCTTAACAGTTTCCTTGGGATCAGTGATAAGAATTATGGATCAGACCCAGCTATGGCTCTAGGACCCCCTCTGCCTCCTGCTTTTCGCTCAGTATGCCCAACCCCAGCAGAAAAACGTTTCCATTCTTGCTCTTCACTGTCTCCTGTGGATATGGAGCAGAAGGCTTAACAGTTTCCTTTGGACTGGTGAGGGGAATTATAGATCAGACCCAGCTATGGCTCTAGCACCCGCTCTGCCTCCTGCCTTTGGCTCAGTATGCCCAGCCCCAGCAGAAAACCGTTCCCATTCCTGCTCTTTGCTGTTTCCTTCCAGGAGGGGGAGCCTGTCCCCTGCCGCTGCTGCAGGCAGCCCGCAGAGGCTCTGCTGGGGCTGGCTCCTGCTCTGCAGCCCTGTGACCCGCTCCTTGCAGAGGCTGCCTCCAAGAAGCCTCCATGCCCACAGTGCCATGGCTTTACAAGTGCCTGCTGGAGAGCAGAGGAAGGCCCTAAGGAGGTGGGAGAAAATGAGAAGCTGAGGCATGGTGTGTTAGTGCTGGGAGGTTGATGCTGGGATGGTAATGCCGTGACCTGGGTTTAGGGCTGTGAGGGCGCAAGCAGGGCAGGCACTTACCACCATGCGGTTGAGGGACACCCAACAATCATCAGGGAAGTCCTGTAGCATAGGCACAAGGAACTGGAGGCAGCCATCCCAGTGACACAGCAGCAGCATCATCCCGATCAGGTTCACAATCCGCACCACAGCACTGGCCAGATCGTAGGTCATGTGGAAGATCTGCAGGGGCCAACAGGGAGCAGATTAGATGGCAGCTCCCCAAACAACAACCCAACATAATTAAATGCAGTAGCAGGGTCAAGAACCTTTCTAAAGTAACAGAAAAGGCTGCATCAGCTCAGGTCAGCCACAGTACGCAAGCAGAACCAGCTGAAAAACAGATTGAAAACCAAAATACAAAACCTTAATCATTCACCCCTCTTGCCCTTTGATTTTTCCTTCTAATTTACATTAAAAGCTCCCTAACTCATTTTATAAAATAAGTTGGTTGCAAATATTTCTGGAACATCAGCCACTCATCAGAAATAAACTCCATCATGACATCTTTTTAACTGCAATGCCCTTCTTTGATTTCTGCTCTTGCTGAATATATGCTACACACTGACCCACGGTGGAAGCTGTCTTTGTAGTGGATGTTAGATGCAGTCTCTGCCAGTATCAAATGCAAGAAGTAATGGCCTCAAGTTCAGCAGAGATTTCCTGAAGAGGATGTGATTCAACTATTTTCTTGTATTTCTTGTATTCTGCTGCTGTACCACTTCCAGTCTTATGTGCAGGTGGGCAAGGAAAAATGAAACATGGCAGAGCTGTATAGAAGGTTGTAGCAAGGAAGCTCAGAAACCTGTAAACAGGCAACAGCAACCACACCTCTGCAGTTAGTTCTCTAATGCAAAGGCAATCCGTGGCCGTGTTTTCTGTAGTACTAGTCATAAGCAAGGCACACTGAGAAATCCAGGTGCCCTATTATCAAAGCTGCATATGCAGTCAAGAATTACTTGATGGACACTATTTTGTTCCTGTGGGAGGTGTGCTGTGGAGACACGGGGGTTGCTTGGCTCTTTTCTGCCCAGCTTTGTGATGACATTTAGACACACAGGGCATGCCAGCAACTGCTATCCTGAGCTACATATCCACCCAGGTTTGGTTTTCCCTACGCTACAACATGCCACAGTGAGGAGAGATGGGCTCTGGAGAGTGTGGCTGGCCCTGTGTGACTCAGCACAGTGCCCACCTTCTGGCATCCTGAAGAGAAGAGACCTTCAAAGTGCCACTGGGCAATGGTTAGGACCCTGTAAGGACCATACACTTAGCCCTCACAGCATGCTGGCTTCCAGTTAAAGAAGCCTACGGCACCACCCTGAAAACAGAGACTCTGCACACATGTGGCATCCTCTCCCACACTCTGCCCTGTCACCACGGCAAGCTGTGACAGAACCAGGATGGATGGAGGCCTGACAGCCATGCCCCAGCCCTGCCAACACGTCCTGCCCTAGAGCCTCATCTGGAGAAATGTTAATCACTGCTCCCCACACATGGTCTTGTTGTTTTTCGTAGAGGAAGAATTAAATATTTGGACAGCTGCGTGTGAATGAAGCAGAGAGACTCCCTGCTGTCAGCTGCCATAGCTGGACCTTCTCAGGAGGCCTCCCCACGGTTTGAAGGCACATACAGCCCGGCTGTTTTGCAGCCCGACCTGCAATCTGGGGCCACAATGTCCTAGTTGGATTTAATGGAAGGGATCAAAAAGCAGAGGAATATAAGGAGCAAAGACTACTGTGAATCAGATGAGGCTGCATGTCCCAGCCCTGTTCCTGCATTTCCACCCTGACCTGTAGGATGGTTCTCCCTTCCAGAGTGCACTTCAATCAGCCCCATCCTAACCCAGCTACCTCATCTTGAAGCTTCCTCACAGAGCTTGTTCACCCCACTGTGCAGCCCTTCCTGCTCTCACAGTCCTGGATTCCCTGACAGCCCTGCCACAGCCCCTCCACTCTGGCCCACAGCCTCTGCTATGTCACCATCAGAGTCCCCCTCCGCCGCTCTGCTCCCGTATCCCAGCCCTGCCCTGCCACTCCAGCCCTGCGAGGTCACGCTTTCTGTTTTCTGACCTGTCACCGCACCTCTCGTTACACTGTGATTCTCGGTGCTGTTGTAAAACTGACCTCCAAGTGAGCCATACAGAGCACACAGTGACACACATCCAAGCTCACCATTTCCTTAGGGATGTAGCAGGATTAACTGTCAGTTCTTCAGATGTAAAATAAACCTGTAAATACCACTTTCTTACAGGTCACCAGGCAGTGGGCCAAGAGGCACAGAGACCCAGATATGGGCTTTATGTAAGATAGCAAAGTAAGTTTCAGTTTGCTGTGTTATTAATAAAAATTGATACCGCAGTGACTGAAACTACAGGGAGAGGCATACCTAGTGTTTCCTGAGTGCTGAGCACCCCTGGAGCACTGCCTGGGCTCCACGGAGCCTCGGTGTAAGAAGCCAGGCATGCAGCGGGTGAGAGCCTCCCGGGCATCACCTCCGGAGGGATAGGTGGGTACCAAGGGAGATGCCTGTCAGGGAAGTACCTGGAGCAGGAAATAGCCCATAGGCATGCTATGAGACTGTATGTCTAAGTCCATATAGCTCATTGCTGCTCTGACATAGCCCTGCTCCTCCCTACCACCCATGGCAGTATGTGCCTATACCAGGGACTGGCCTCCTCTGATCCCAGAGTGAGCCAGTTCAAGCAGCTAAATAGGCAGAAAACTTTTGTTATAAAAGAAAGGATCATGGTTTGAATTTAGCTGTCTAAATTGGCTCATCATGCCATTGTCAGAGCTGGCTGTTCAATTTGAATGCCTGTTTCCACACCAGATATTAACACTTCCCCACTTAATCAGGATGCCATGAGGTCATACACATTAAGAGATGCCGACATGCTCAATCCAGACCAGGAGGGAGCCACAGAAGAATGCTGGAAACGAGAAGGTTGAATGATTTGGACAACTGCTTCTAAATTCCATTATTTCCGCTGCATCCAAGATGCAGCTGGAGTCCACAGTGTCACTTAGTATGAGAAAGGCCATTCTAGCGATATTTCTGGGCTGAAAAGAAGAAAATATCCAAAATCCACCATGAAAGGCTGTTCTAGGAAATCCAGCTCTCAATGCTGACTCAATAGGTCAGTATGAAAGCTGAGCACATAATTCATAAAGAATAATTCCTACTCGTTTCATCTTCTTTTTTTTTTTTTTTACTGTTGCAGAAATGATCATTCTCATTTAGATAACCCAAAGCGAATCCAGCCTATCTGAGTGACAGCCACAGGCTATGCTTTTAATGAAGCCAGAGCAGCAGTTTGCAGAAGGATCTCTGAATGGATCTTTTGTATCACCAGGGTTTTAAGGTGCTAATGACTTTTCCTCTCCCACCTATGTGTGTTTTTCAAAGAGCTCCAGCCTTCCTGTAACCCAGGGAACTCCAGCCAGGGACAGGGAGAAAATGTCAGATTTAGGAAGCGCCTTTCTTCTTTTAATATATTAAAAGCAGAAAGTGAAGAGCCTGAGAGAATGGATGGTTTAGGGGAAAGGTGAATGGATATGGAGCTTCTTATATGATGATTGGGATCTATTCTAGTCAGGCTAGGTTAGAAAGCCTTTATTCTTTGGTGCACCTCTGAAGAAGAGGAATAAATGAGTGTGTTTGCTTCTGCCGTTGGGCCCTGCTGCCTCCTCTCATGCACTAATAACTCACACATTTGCTGACGGCTGAGAAATGGCAGCTCTGTGCAGAGCGCGTGTACGCCTTGGCTCACAGGTCTTCCTTCACTGCTGGGTCACCACTCATCACGTAACCCACCTGTAAACGTGGGACCCAGTGCTGAAGCACAAAGGGGAGGAGAGTCCTGTCTCTGTATTAACACCGGGGTGACTCTGCCCTTGCAGTGCACGGATGTTCCCAGCGCAGAGCTGAGAGGCCAGGAGCTCAGTGGCCATGCAGGATTGTCCCATGAAGCCCAGCACTGACCAGACGGAAGGATCACAGCTGCGCTGACACAAACTTCCCACAGAGGTAGAGACAATATCTGCTTTACATGAGGGTGCATTCAGCTCACCTACCTAGACTATATCATTAGAGTCACTGGGTGGAAACACACACCCAGAGGGGGACAAATCTGGCTTGTGGCACTTGTTTACCTGAGAAGGGGATGCACTGCATCTCAGGAATTCCTGTTTCTCTCTGTTGCCGATAAAGCAAGCCTAGATAATGAACTCCAACTGTGAATCTCTGAACTGCAGGTGAGACAAATCCCACTTCAAATGTCAGTCTCAGGAGTTACCAGCTCATGCCCACTCCTTGGAATACATTTGGATTCACATGCAAGAGAAAAATAAGAAACACACGCTCTGCAGCACACAGGAATAACTGAAGGGGTGTGAACGAACACCTTTCACTGAGAAGACGTTCCTACTGTAAATAGGTGCCTGTGTTATCGGGAATACGAACTCCAGTAGGATGCTGGAGAATGTCTAAGCCAGTGCTGCAGTGCCCTAAAGCAGCCTATAGCTCGCCAGGGAGAGGTAAGGAAGAAACATTCTAGAATAGCTGGTCCACGAGCAGGGGAATGTGAGTGGTAATTGAACTTCTCTGGTTTTCATCATTAACACTCAGGGCTTTCTTGTCCTGTTGTAACACAACCCAGGCTGGGTCCCAGAGCATCACACCTCCTTCTGCCCCTGGAACTGCTTGTGCTTTCCGTCTTTCTGCTGCCTGTGATTTGGAAAAAGGGAGTGAGAAGGAGAAGGACAAAGCACAGATTCATGCTTAAAAGCACCTCTTTCCAAGGGTATTCTCTTATAGAGCTAACATCCTTGTTTCTTGATTGTCCAAAACAAGCTGTGGCTTCTGAATCCCTATTCCAAAGTCAGCTCTGTCCTTCCAGCCAAAGGACTCCTTGCAATGCTTTCTGAAAGGACACTTTCAGAAGTCCCACTTGGCAAAGTGGGAGGATCAAAACTTTCCTCAACAAAGTCATCTCTAGTTATATAAGAGCTCCATCTTGGAAATCCCACTTACACAGAACAAGCTATCAGGATCCTATCAGTATGAATCTGAAATCTTGTCAGCCCCAAATAACTCTCTACAGCACTCCTCAGTTGGCTGTGTACTGCGGCAGGATTCCTCTAACCTGATCACTTGAGCTGGAAGAAATCAAGGACACCTTG